TGGCGCTTCCTTGGCACATGGGAAGGCTTCATGATGGTGCGCTTCGCCGCTCAGAGCTCCCATCCCGAGTGCTACGCCGTGAATGGCGTCAACTGTCTGCTTGGCGAGAACGTCGACGACCTCTTGCCACTACTGGCCGCGTACGAAGGCAATCGGACCAGCGGCAACAACGATACGAGTCTCTCAACATTTCCAGCGCCGTGCGGACCCGCGCGTCGAGAGCACTGGGGCAACGAAGGCTACTCTGGCTCAAACGAGTGGTGCTGGGCGGCAAAACGGCAGCTTCCGCTCTTTGACGCTCGTGGCAGCCTCGCCCACTGTGTCTCCGGGCCTCTCGGTATTGCGGCCGTGCGGTCTTTCCAGCAAAGATCGTATTGCGTCTCCAAAGTCCAATGGTCGTCGTTTGGGGAGTGCCGATTCTTCTCCAACTGGGCGACGTGCCAAGCGAGCGTCGAGCGACTGCTTCTTCAAGACGACGGTTTGTACTCCTACGGCGAGTCGAGCTGCAATGGCAACGAGAAAACGTGCGTCGACCCACCAAGTTACAACTACGGTTTCTCGCTGCCGTCGGGGGATGGTCTTTTCGGCGGCATCCTCGCGGGTCTCTTTGCAGTTGGCGTGCTCGGCGCTCTCGCTGGCTTTTACATCAAGAAGAAGGACCGTCAGATGGCAGCCTCGCGACCTGCGATTGAAGCCACCGTGTGCTCGAGCAAGGACGGCGACGAGGACGACGAGGAAGATGATTTTCCCGTCTATCGAGCCTCCAACTACGTGCGGGATGATTCAAGATCTGAGCCTGAGCAGCCCTAGTTAAAAGATATTGGATCCAATGTACATTATTTGCATCTTTGAAACCTGCTAATACACTTGTGGCTAGTAATGACAGATTCAGTCCCGATGAAACGATGCGGCCACAGGATTCGCTCGAGAGACGTTGTCACGACTGCAATGATGCTTGTCCGCCATGTGCTCGAAAGACGCTTTCAAAAGAGGCGTCCCCAACTAGGCCTC